GTAACTCTATGAACAGATCCCGCTTTATGACGGTAATAGTTGATATGATAATCAAAAAATTTTCACTTTTTATACGAAACACAAAGGTTCACTAAAGGTTTAATAAGAGTTCACCATGGACCACATTTCTCTAATATGCGTTTTAATATTATCCTCCAACATACGCGTAGGTTTTTCAACTACAATTTTGTACACATGTATCTTCTTCCGTAGACTTCTACCAATTCCATTCTCCTTCGTTTGATCACCCTCATAATATTCGGTTCAAATTATGAATCTCTTTAATTTGCAATTTACTGTAGCCTCTTATTGTTTTCTCTTATAAAAAAACATTCCCCATCAGCATTCAATAAACTTTTTACCTTTAGTATGACACGTAGTTTTATTTCCAATACAATCGAAACTCACTAGTCTGGAATCAGTATTCAACTGTATTAAACATATACATATATAATTGGCATACATGGGGGTTTTTACTTTGACTTAGCTATTCCTTTACAAGCCCCGAAGGAAACTGTATATTTTACTGTAAAAATAACACTTATAAAATACGATACTAATGGATAGTGTACGGTACCTACTTATTTCAGTTTAACAAAATCAGTCATATAATGTCCCAGATTCTAACTACAGAGACTAGTAATAGGCCTACTACATGGATTAATGATAGTTTGTAACTTCAAATAATTGTATTTTTTACTAACGTAAAAGGCTCTGCCGAAATTTAGTTGTTAATGATTTCTTTTCTACATCCATCCTTAACCCCTTTCTACAATTCTGTATCTTTATTCTCAGCTCTTATTTCCCCTTATTTTTCTCATCCCTTTCAACTTAGAACTAAAACTGTCAGCCGTTCTACGTTACGTAAACGTTGGCCACTCACAGGCTTATTCTAAGTACATATAAACGTTAAAAATAATATAAATATTTGTAAAATAGACAATTCTGCCATGTAACGTCGTTACTGAGACCTTTAACGCCCATACTGAATGAATCCCGGTAATCCGGATCAAAGCACTCATATGCATTATCAAATAACATTTGCAACTTTGTTGCATTAACATATTTATCAGTTTATTGTATGTGACATGTATTGAAACGTCATGTTTAATCATCAGTTTGAAATATCCTAGTTTGTTCAGCATCGAAATACGATCCCAATTTGAATATTATGTTTCACAAAATATATTCCATGAGCTAAAATTAACTTCAGAAGTTTACAATTTTAAACAGTAGAGGATTCTAGTTGTAAATTTGCAATCAGTGCGAGTCACCCCAACTGGAACTAATCAGCCGCAATACCCACAGCTTGGTCTCTGAAATTACAGTAGAAACAGCTCGCTTCTGAGCATGAAAATGGTTGAAATCCAAGCGAAACGATCTCAAGTTTGTCTATGCGAAGAGTTGTTAGTCACAGAAGAAGCCGAATCCAAACACCACCTTATACTCACAACCTTACAATTTCTACTGCGATGAAAGCAAGAAGTAATATCTACAGATTCCCACCACAATGACGGAACTGTTAATAAAATTACTACCATATAATTTCCAATGCAGTTTTGATATAGCGAGAATATATCACGAGCAAGTGACAGACACTGTATTTCAAGAATAAAGGTCTTTCAAAATCTAATGAAACAGACGGCTCTCTCTATGTAACAGAGACGTTCTTCAAAATCTCATAGTCAGTCAACTACTAAGTTCTCCTGCAATCTTACTAAAACCTTTGTATCCATCAAAATGTTTGCAAGAGTCCGTCACTTCCACCAATACCAAGAAAGAAGAATCCAGTCTACAACGCTGTAACCTATTTTTCCGTTCAATTTTAATAATATCCTCCCATCTACGGTAGGTTCACCCAAATAGCCTCTCCGGTTCACGTATTTCAACTAAAATATTGTATGCATTTCACATCAACCACCTCATCCTCGTGATTTTATAACACTTGTAACATTTGGTGACACCCTGTTTTCACACACTAACAATCTATTAACTATTTCCTATCGAACTTCGACATTTATAGCCTTGTTTCCTCAAAACCAGTCCTATAATATAACGTGCTATATTACAAAAGCCTCATAAATATGTCGAGTCGCTTGTAATTGTTCTAGGGACTGACACTTCCTGGTTTAGAAATATGGCATGGAAGGTTCAACATACAGCGCCTTTTTACGTGACCAAAATGTGTTTTTTTATCTAGGATGTGATTACAAAAAGTGACTTATTTATTACCCTCGTGTTAAACACCGTTTTATATAATTATTTCCTATGTAATTGAAGTGACTTACGTTCCAGTTTCAGCGAATAGTATAGATTGTTTAATCGTTTTACATTTTACAGTGAGTGAAGACTGTCCTTTTAAGAGTAGCCTCACTCATACGCTAACCATTATACCGCTTCGGAGGTCTTGAAATAAGAAATACGAGAACAACTGTCAGTAAAACTATAATTCATCTGAAAATGGGAACTGAGGCAGCTCAAATAGGAGTAGAGGTCAGTGAGTATTGTCCGACATTAAAGTTATATAATTAATCAGCGACTGTCACAAACCTTTTATAGATTCGTTAAATTATCAACAGCTGAAAATATTATCAAGGACTTTTATTACTAGTTACAAATTTCAAACAACACTAACATTTCTTATGATAGCAGCAAACTTCTGTATGTATAAAGACCCGTGGATAATTCTCAAGGTCATTTAAAATCTTCCTCGAACAGAACAGAAACTGAAGTTAATTACCTATTATAATAAAATATTATAAACGTCTTTCAAATATCTGTACAAATTATGATTATTATTAGGAAACTTTATCGGGCATTAAACCGGAGGTAAGGAACACAATGAAATTAACGTTATACAAGAAGAAGATATCTAAAACGGAAAAAAAAATTGTTGACTAAGGAACACAATGAAATTAACGTTATATAAGAAGAAGATATCTAAAACGAAAAAAAAAATTGTTGAAAGTCACATGACAGTGAAGATGTCGATTCTGGGTTGTGAAACAGTGCGGACAGGTGGAAAAGCATGAAGTGATAAAATTTCTGTAGTAACCCTCCGCGAACACAGAGATCAACACCCATAAAATAATATTAAACTAATAAAAATGTACATTTAGCAAAAAACAGAGCAAATAAAATATAAACTCCAGTAAAAGTTTTGATTGATTATCAGTGTACTTTTTTCAGAACTGTGCATATGTACATTTTCAGTACGATATATTTTGTCGGTAGAGACAGGAGTGACGATGCATGCCGGGAAAAAATTCGTTTAGCCGTAAATTGCTTCTGCGTTCCACAAACCAAAAACACTCTAAATGCGACATAAGTTCCATACATCAAAAATTTCATACGTTTATAGTACAGTCAAACCTAACTAAAAAGTTAGTTAGGGCACAACTTGTATGATTAAAATTGTAATCTGCAACAGATAATCGCATTTTATAATGGTAATTCGACTACTATCGTTCCTCTGTCCAATCGCAAATTAAAACGTGAACACTTGAATCGCAATATTCTGGTGGAAGAAATAGAAATACCACAACTAATTTTTATTCGCTAATCTGTTTCAACAATAACTTTTAAAGATTAATTCCATATCAATTTTATGTAAAAATATGCAACTGACATATAATTAATAACTGGTAGAAACACATTTTGAAATTAATTATCGTCTGACAAATACAATTTTATATTAAAGTCATGATTATGTTTCATTAATTAGGATTATAACAACAGCCTAGTTTTACAAGAAAATAAACGGCAGAAAGAAATTAATTACAACGGTTAATTAAAATGAAATAATGACGTTGTTTATTTGATACAATATTTAATGTACGATGTAGGTGAGCTTTAGCAAAAAGGATTAATGAATAACGGATGAATTGTCTTGATATAATTATGCCCCCTTGTGGACAATGGGTTGATTTAGGAACATATTCACTCTCACAGTGACTACAAATAAGCATTTAATTCCCAGGCTGAATCTATTGACTTCGATAAAGTACGATCACATTCTGAACTACCCGCTCTCTCAATTGGTAACCATCACTGTAAGCTAAGCACATAAGTGCAATTAAGTGAACGTCGTTAGAGCTAAGTAGCCCCTTTAAATGGAGGGCCCCTTAATCATTATGTAACTGGATTAATCTTGGTAGAGAATTTGATTAGTTTTCAATTATATGAACACCTAATTTCAAAACATTAATTTGGATAGTAGAAAAATAAATCATTTTGTGTTTAAGAAACTCAACCAGCCTTCTAGGGTTAACAGGAGTTATTCAATTCTGAATTTCCTACCCCCCCTCCTCCCTAATGTTTTTCAGCCCATTTGATAAAAAACACGGATAATCGAAGTTTTTGTACATTTAATCATTGTTTTCAGATAGTAAATGGGAATACAATGATTCTAAACAGCATGATAGCAAGAATTCCTTGAATTCAATAAATCTTAATGTCTTCATAAAAGCAAATATCATCATCATAATTCCCAGGTATTTAAAGCCAGATTCATTTTCGAACGGTTATAACAGACACAGTATACAAATCTCCACTCTGAAATTCAAATAATACAAGTTAGAAAAAGTAATTAATTAGTATCAAAATTCCAGCTTTGTACTTGGTTTATGCATTTACTCTGGAACTTGTTCAGCATTGTACAGAAATTAAATCGTGAAAGTCTTAATTCGCAAATGAGTTTTGCCTATACCAGACAACGAAAGATCGACATTTCCAGAACAGCTTTGTCTACCGGATCCAATAGAATACATATCTTCCCCTTAATACCTAAAGACAAAGGAACATCCATCCTTCGAAGCGAAGTCTTTTTTTTTTTAGTTTTTAAGACTTTTTAAAAAATCAGATAATGGATAAGTCCGAAACAAAGAGAGTGGATTTGATAAGTTGGTATCCACGTGGTGTCGCAACCCGGAAGACCACGACGCATTTCACTAATGCGGTGAAAACTTCAGGTCTAATACTGACTCCGTTTACTTACTTACCCTTTTTCCGTTAACGATCCAGGTGAGGTTTGTCGGTGGGCTTGAAGCTGGTGAGGAACAGTTCCCACGTAGGGTGTCGCCCACCGCGTAACGTCGCTTTTCCATCTGCAGCTTTGGATCTCCTTCAGGTAGATCTGCCAACAGAAATAAACATTTCATCATCGGATACATCAAACCCACTTCCATTTTAGACTAAAACCAGAAGGAAACAAGTAGTATACACAACACGTTCTTTGACTAGCATATTGAATGGGGAAGCCATGGAATATATAATAAAATTACAATACATTAGCTGAACTAAACTGGAGCGGGGAAAGGTCCAAATGTGAACCTTCATAATGATAGTACCTACAGAGCATTAGTTTTTTTACAAGTCAGTACAACTAGCAGGAACTTGTATGAAAAATGGTAGTACGTGAGTAATACCGTCTTCGTTTTAAAGTGTTTTAACACAAATTTGAATACGCCAGGCTTGCCAACTGCAACTTCACAGTGTTACTCCATTTTGAACTCCCTGACGCATTATAAACAGTTTCTTCAACTTTACCTAAAAGTTCGTCCCTTTTTATGCTCACGTATTTAATTGATCTTTACAAGGTCACGCGTTGAGTTTTGTCTGAGATATGAACTAAGATCTGAAATATTATTTAATCAGCTTTGTCTTCAAAACACTAAATTAGTAAAAATTAAATAAGAGTTGTGTAGATTATGCATAACCATAGATGGCTGACGTCTATTATTATAGGTAGATATTACTGGATATGTCACATATACACTATATTAAAAGTGCTATGTATTATATACTAAATGTCTGTTAAATAACAAAACACTCCGTTTCTTCGTGAATATTTCGTCCATGTTCCTCTGCCCACCAAGAAACACGGAATCAGTATTTCAGAATAATACAGAATGCAAGAGTTGTAGCCAGCTTATCTATTCTGCCTCTAAAAACTGTAATATACCCACAGTTTATGAAATTATATGAACAACACAGAATGAGTCGAATGAAACAAAACGTAAAAGTTAAAATCTAATGACAGCTTGTGATATTAAAAACATCGAAATTAAAAATCTCCGTCATGTTTCCATAACGCAGTAATTGCTGGAAATCCTACAGTGGAACAGTTGTGTGCTATTTCAGACAATACATATATCAGCTAGTACGGACGAAACATGCCGTCAAATACAGACTTGATTCGCCGCAAGGCGCAATTCTGCTGCTACTCTCTCAGGGAGAATAAAAAAGAGGTTGGATTAGACCCTGAAGCAGCTCGAAGACCGGTGTCTTCTCTTTAATTTCTGTATCAAATTCAACAAACAACTGGGATAGACTTTAAAGATTATATCCTGTTGCGTACTGGGGCTAACAAACATTACGCAAAACAAATTTTATTCCAAAAGAATTACTTTCTCAAAATTATTTTTCTGTGCCTGAAAATGATCTGATCAAGTCAAAATATTTCGTACAAAGTATTTTAAGAAAACAATTCTTTCAGAATAAAAGTCGTGATGAAGGTTGTTCTGTTTAACCTTTGTTAATTAAAATAGGTTGTACGGCATTAAATCTCAAAAATTCCTTAACAACAATGATAGTAGGTATACAAACAGCGTACACTTAACAGACGAATTTATGAAAACCTTGTCGTTTAATCTAACAAATGTTTAAAAAATTACGCTTTTACAGAGCAATATTAATAAATTATAAATCAGAGTCATTACTGTAGCAGTCAACTTGCAATAAACTGGTAGTCTACAAAATACTTCATTAAAATACTTTTCACGAATTCTTCTTACATTTGACCGAATTTGACAACCATATATATAAATGAATAATTATTCCGAAGTTATCTATCATCCTAAAACATCACAAGGTACAAAGCAATTTTGAAGTCTCAGGTGACTTCATGATTTGTTTCCCACTGTAATCACTTTGCTTCAAAGCTTTTGCGCAACGCTGTATCAATGCTGTTGGGAATGAAAATTATGTGTTTCCGAAATATTTCGAAACTGTACAGCAACTGTTAAGATATTATTTCGATCCCAGTAAAGGCTTACGTACCTTCCGAGTCATAACCGGGGTTTTTCACGTCAATACTAAAATTTTCAAAATGTAATTAAAAAACGCAGTATGCTAATATCTCGAAAGTAGGTCAGATAGTTTCAAGTTTCGCTTCGAGAAATTTCCAACCGACGTCTCATCCCCATCGCTGTCATGTGCGAAGAAATCAATGATAAATCATGTAATTCAGGGGACTCCAAAATTCTTTACTAATGAGCTACTTGGTTAATGCAGTTTGATGACAGATAGGATAAGTTTCAGCGACACAAGTTCTTCTCTTTTGTCCAAGTCCAAGATTTTACTCAGACTCTCTAAAAACCACATAATCTGCAGTCTTACTTTTGGATGATTTAACGGTTGAGCTATAGGTCTTCGTGAAATGGATTCATTTGAAGAACGAGCCATTCAAAATATTTTAATTGTGTTGTATTGTATTTGTAACTGTTGATAAAATTTTATATGTTGTAGGCCTACGTCATTAAAACATTAAATGCTAAAATGCGTCGTGCGTTCGTAAGTACGTAAATAAATAATGACATTGCCAAAATTAAAGAATATCGAACCGATACGTTAATAAAAGTATACCACGATACAAAATTCATTATAGAATCCTAAAATAAAAAAGAAAAACACTTTTACAAGTTTGATTTATTCTTGATGTCACATCTGCATGTAACAGCTCCAAAATAACAGTAGTAGTAGGCTGCTTTTGATCGATTTACATAGGGAACAACAAAGTGTCTGCACGTCTCCCTCGGTACGAACTTATTCCAGTGAAATCACTCGACTATTCTAACCCCATGAAAGCTTTCATTGTTGTTTGCCCTTCAAAAAATCTATATGCATAATGCGACAGCTCCACTCAAATTTCATCCCGCAATGATGTTCATGCATACGGTGTTGAGAATCTATCTATTCCTGAAATACCATGACGTGTTGTGACGCAACAGAGTTTCCTAACAAATAGAAGTATACGGTTGACAGGATGATGCTTTCAGACAAAGTTTCCCTTTCTCGCTTTATCTCCAACCCCCTCCCTCACCCCCTAGAGCTTCTGCCTAGCAGTTCCATTCATTCGCCAGTGTCATACTGAACAGATGACCTGTTTCCTTCTACCATCATCAAGCAGACCATGAATCAACTACACGTAACCTGATGGATTGACTGTGGCGTTATGGCCGACAGATACACTTTCCTACAAGAATCTTCCAGATTTCTAATGCCGTATAACATCTTTTGTGCAGTCTCATAAAAATGATGACGATCTAAAACACAGAAGAAAATTGTGAAAGAACCGCCGTATAAATCGAAACGAATTACGAACAACTTGTCTAGAAAAGTATTTTGATAAGTAGGCTTAAAAATACGAAGACGTTCTTCGCCGCGTTATTAACTTTGTATTAGATCATGTAATTTATTTACGTGGGGAAACATGGTGCTGACAACAAATTGCAGTTCCATATGACCTATGGAGAGACATAAATCACATTTCTCTCAACATTTGATCAACACTTGCCTCATAAGTTTACTTACACTGATTATGGATATATACAGTTGGTACAAACTCGTTTGTACATGTAAACAATTCTAGAACTATGTTAAATATTTGTACTTCATTTTCCAGTCTACTGTTAAAATATGTTTCAATGGCATTGTCTATGACACAAAATTATACTCATCTTGTTTAGGGTTTATTGGAGATAAAACATATAATGCTAAAGTCATTCCCTGAAGATGGAAACAATAAACTTCTCCGAAACAAAAATACAACTTCACCCTCAAAATAGAAGCAATAGGTTCCACCGAAAGGTTTGTAATTTCTGAAAATATCACAGGATGTCACGGCTCACAAGAACACAACTGACGTCAGTTTATCTCAGTCCGACTTACCCCAGACAAAGACCACCTCAGTCAACTAGAAGGTCTCCGGGAAAAGATATGATCCCGAGGCCTCACGAATACGAAGCAGTAGCGCTAACCAGCCAGCTGTGACGTTCGGTCTCTAGCCACACTGAGCTATTCCAGCCCAACAAACAACTAAAACGATCCTTAACTTTTCGTTTAATAAGAGATCAACAACTAATATCCTCCCATTATCTGCAACCAAGAGACGCTTTACGTGGCATCTGAAATATCACGTGCGATCCGTAGGCAGATTATTTTTTTTTGTTTTATTAACATTAGGGTAGTTTGTGGTAAATTGCACATTCTTAGGAATTATTACCACCTTAGAAGAAGCAGCGCGGTGGTCGCCATTTGTAATATGCAGCACAGGAATTTAAGTAGAAGAAAGAAACACGAAACTCTTCAGTAATATAGCTTTCCCTGAGAAACAAGTTTGGGACTGTCAATACACAGACTTGAAGATTACTGTCTTCTGCGATGTAGCGCTGTGCTGACTCGTGGAAACTGACCGACGTTTCACAGTTGCTGTCACCATCATCATCGCCCTGATGATGAAAGCAGCAAACAACTCTGAAACGTCGATCAATTTCTATCAGACTACAAGAAACAAAATCCCAGAAAACTGCTATCATCATACTAGCCGCAGTAAAAACTTGAAATTTACAAGTAACACAACTTTAAATCTCCTGAAAAGGGAAAATGTTTAATCACGGGCATGAGACAGGGGTAATATTAAAATTAGGTTTATGACAATAGTTTTTGAGCACGTTAAATGGAGTTTTATGGTAGACCGAATAATCAAAGTACACATTTTGTTGTACCTAATACGGTGAACTCCCTGTGTGCGTAATAAAATCCTCAATTCGTTGAACATGTAGAAAACATTTTGTTGTTTTAAGCTGTTACATCAGGTAAAGTCTTAGGTAATTCGTTGGTTAGTTTGTTATGCACTGAAGACAGACAAATATTGATGTCTTCTGGGTTACAGCGCCGTGATAGAAGTTTACCAACGTTTCAAAGGATGCTGCTGCCTCCATCATCAGGGCGATGAATACTGGTCCCAGCAAGAACATCTAAAACGTTGGTAAAATTATACCAGACTACATGACGCTAGAATGCAGAAGATGGCCATCTTAATATTCAGTGCAGTGAGAACCTTAAATCCTACTA